TCTGGCTGCACTAGGCACCTCGAGGCCCATGTGTAACCTCTGCACCCCCAAACTCAAGTCTGGCTGCAGCCATCAGCATACCTGGGCAGTCATCATGGCAATGAAGACCTCGTGGGACTTGGAAAGAGCCCTGTTTCTGGCATCTGGGCCAGCTAGACACCTGCTTGTGACCTGGCAGGCATGTCGCTCCTTCGGCCTCTCGTCCTCCTCTGTGACACATGACACACCGAGCTCTCTGTCCTGACCCAACATGCTTGAGGACCACTGACTCCTTCTGGGTGTCAGACACAGTGAAGCCCCTTGCGGACACCAGGGCTATGTTTGCCGAGGAGCCTTCTGAGCCAAAACCACCTCACCACTGCCTCTCCATGGGCGCTGCGTATCGGGCCTTACGGGACCCCAGGGACCGTGCTCCGTGTCCCACTGCATGATCACAGCTCCTCGAGGCACCATTCCTGTCTCCCCCATTTGACCTATGAGAAAACGGGGGCACAGAGAGGTAAACCACAAGTCCCGTCTCACAGTTTGCTAGTCTGAGTTCAAATTCTGTGCTGTCAGCTCTGTTTGTTCCTTTTAGAGTTATTTATTTAATTTATTCTTATTCTTATTTTAATTTACCATAAGGCTTGTGTGCTCACCAGAGAGAGACAGAGGAAGAGAGAAAGAGAGAGAGGAAAGTGAGAAAGCAAGTTGCCAGGACCGGGACTCGAACTGCAGTTGGCCATGTGGGAGTCCAGCATCTTAAACACCATCTGCTGGTCTCTGTGCTCTCAGCTCTTAGTATTCTAACTGGGAAACCTCACAGGCCAGACATACCCAATCAGCTTCCTAGCAGAAGTTTGAAAAAGAGTGGAAACTGAGACACGGCAGGATCAGGGCCCCTGGCTGAGCTCTGTGCTGTTCTCCAGGACTCCGTCAGCCCCCATGGTCCCAGACCTTCCTGGGCCTCGGGGGCCTCTCCTGTGTTCGTCTTCCTGTGGGTGGACGAAGCCTGCTGTGTGTATCCCAGGTGGAGGAGGGGCAGGTGTGCCATTTGCAGGGGCTGGGTATAGCAGAGTTTTGACATGTGGGTGCCCCTGTGTGCCAGGGCAGGGGCTGGGGGTGGGCTCCAGGTGGAGGTCTGCGATGTCAGAGGTGGCTGTGGTCACTGCTGGTGAGCTCTCCTGTTCACCATTCCTCAGAAGGTTCCCTTGTCACCCTGCTGTGTGCTCCAGCCCTGGATCTCCAGTGTCTGTGTCCCCAGCCTGAGGAGCATGTTTCGGGCTGAGTGGGGGCCCTGACAGGAGTCCCTAAAACCAGGGAGCGGGAATGTTGATTTCCAGCCATGTAGGTCCACCCAGGGGGTCCCCGCCTTCCCCCTGGGAGCAGTGTGTGTGGGGGAAGAGGAGAAAGCAGCCCCATCAGCATCTGCAGGTCTGGAATGGAGACTGCAGCCTCGGGGGCTTTTCTTAGGGCATTTTCCCTGCAGTCCTTATCTCACCTTCTTGGCAGTTTGGGGGGACCTGGGTGTGAATTTTGGTTTAGCTTCCCACAAGCTGCAGCACCTTGTCACCCAGAGGCTCTCAGAGGCCCCCCTGCCTGGTCGGGAGGATTGACAGGATCCTGCTCTCGAGGAGCGGGTCACCCTGCAGGCCATGCGAGCGCGTGTCACAGTGGTGACACGTTACTGCATGCTCTGCACCAGCAGCCTCCCCCAGGGCCCGAGGGCCAGCCCGCCAGCCGCAGGCCAGATGTGCGCGTTCGGCTAGCGTGGGGGGAGCGTCTCTGTGTGGGTGTCCTTGCATGATGTGTGTGGGCTGCTGTGTTTTTGATCGAAGGGAGCCAAACTGATTTTCCTGGCCCATCTCTCCACCCACCCTCCGAAGCAGAAAGTTAAATAAACACAGCCGAGTATTATCACAGGACTTGAGGAAAATGAACTCGGTCCCCACGGGCGGCCCACATCTGGCAAGAGTTGGGCCTTCCAGGGCTGTGGGATGAGGCAGATGTGGTGGGAGAGCAAGGATCAGGACACCCCCCTACTCGGGGATGTGCCTCCTCCAGGGCTCCATGCCAGCTTCAGGGCCCACGGGGGGCTGCAGGCGTCCTGCCCTCAGCCCTATCTCTTCCATCGCCAGCCCTGGGAGGCTCTGCCATCTGGCTGGGCTTCTCCAGAGCCATCCCGCGGACAGTCTCCCTGGCTCAGCTTGGTATTTGTGCTGTGCCTGTGAGGCTGAGCCCCTGGCCCTGGTGCAGGAGGGGCCAGGCACATGGGAGGCACACTGACTTCCCCCTCTTCTGTCCCTCTGCTCAAGGCCTCAGTGAGTGGATGCGTCATGGGCTTCGGGAGCACTGGCCTTGTGCTCGAGTTTGTAGCTGGCATGCTGGGCCCCCACCATCCTCTGCCTGTGGCATGTGACACTCAGGCCTCACCAACCTAAATGGGCTGGGCGCATTCTCACTGTTCTGTATAGGAGAACCGATAGGCACTTCTGGGTGGATGGAAACGGAGAGGCTGCCCTCTCCTTCCCCATTTAAAAACTTTTAAGTTTGCCGTAGGGTATGTACCTTCGCTGGAGAGAGAAAGAGAGAAAGTGAGGCGTCACACCCCCCTCCCCCCGGGAGGATGGCCACACCACAATCCTTTCTCCTTTCTCCTCTCAGGAGTTTGGGCAGGCATGTACACCCACTGTATGTTTTTCAAGCCACCGGGTCTGGGACTTGAACTGTGGAGTTGGCCATGTGGGATCCAACTGCCTCAACCACCACATCACTGTCTGCTTCCTCTCATTTGTTTATTTTTCAGAGGTGCCCAGCACCTCTCATGTCCGCCTTCCCAAACAGTGGCACTCCATTGGAGACCTGCAGGGACTCCCACGGTTGGAGAATGGTTTTCTTTTTGCCTGGATTCTTCTATTGTCAATTAAGAAAATGTTCCTTTCTGTGTTTATTCTTTTTAAAAAATTATTTTATTTATTTATTTTTCATTTGACCAGAGAGAGACAGAGAGAGAGAGTGAGAAAGAGAAAGTGAGAAAGCAAGCTGCCAGGTCTGGGACTTGAACCACGGTTGGCCATGTGGGAGTTCAGCACCTTGACCACCACACCACCTGGTGGCCCTGACTTTCTGTGTTTATTCTAATATCTATTTTTAAAAAATGGTTACTAGTGCACCTAGTCCTGCTTCATGGGAAGTAGCAGAAAAGGCATTTAAGTTAGAGAAGGGAGCTTGTGGACAGAAAAGCACTGTGTGGCTTGGCCTGGGGGCAGAGGCTGCAGTGTGCTGGGCTGTGGTATGGGGGTGGTGTGGCTGACCACCGTTCAGATCTCCGGCCTCGCTGACCTGCAGAGTGTGCTTACCCAGAATCTTGACCCTTGGAGGAAGGGGATTGAGGCCTGACTATGCACTGTGGAGGTACCTGTCTTTCTCTATCTCCTGCTCTTGTTTTTGTGTGTGTTTTCTATCATTAAAAAAACAGGGGCCGGAGATCAACCAGTGGCATGATTAAGGCTTTGAGCTCTGACATGGCTGACCTCACTTCAAGTCCTAGACCTGGTGGCCTGCTTTCTCACTTTCCCTCTCTCTCTCTGTCTCTGTCTCTCTCTGGTGAAATGAAAAGATAGAAATACCAAATAAAATAAATAAAATAATTCTCTAAAAAACATTAGGGACCAGCAGGTGGCATGGTGGTTAAGGTGCTGGACTCCCATGTGGTCAACTGTTGTTAGAGTCCCAGATCTGGTGACTTGAAACTCATACTAGGTACGTGTGTGCATGTGTGCCCAAAATCCTGAGAGGAGAACGGAGGAGAAAGGATTGTGGCATGGCCATCATCCTGGGGACGTGATTCCTCACTTTCTCTTTCTCTGTCTCTTGCTGTCTCTCTGGTGAGGCATGCGCCTTATAGCAAAAATCTCTCTTTAAAGAGAAAAAGAGGAAAACAATAGAAAAAAGTGAAAAGGAGAAAAAATAAAAAAAAATAAAAAAAATGAAAAGGCCTGGTGACTCAGGCGGCTGGATCTATGACTTATGACTGACTACGTAATTTGAAGCCTGGACCTGGCAGTTTGAAAACCATGCCAGCACATGTGTGTGTGTGTGTGTGTGTGTGTGTGTGTGTGTGTGCCTAAAATCTCGGGAGGAGAATGGAGAAGGGATTGCAGCATGACTATCCCCCCAAGGAGTGATTGCTCACTCTCTCTCTCTTTTTGTCTGTCTCTTTCCGGTGAGCGCATGTACCCTATAGCCAAACTAACAAAAGGATAAAAAGGAGGGAGAGAATCATTCCATAACTCTTGGTGCAGGGGGTCGTGTGTTTCTTTTGCAAGTCTGGGGAGGTCCCTCCCAGGCCCCAGCCCAGCTGGTGGAGGGGCCCAACCCTGCCCAGCTAGATCCCTACTGCACGCCCATGATGGCTTTTTACTTAGCCAAGATTTGCAGGTCGCCTTGGGAATACCAGGCAGGTTTGAGAGAGGCCTGCTGAGGCGGGACCATCCTCCAGGTGGGGATGTCAGGACCCCCAAAGGCCTTCCCCACGTGCATTCTAACCACGGTGGGTGGGCCGTGGGGCCGAGACGGGGACACATCTGTGCCCATGAAATGTCTCTCTCCCAAATCTGACTTATTAAAAGTACTGAGTCCTCAAACCACAAACTATTATGATTGCCCCCACCCCGGGGACTTCCATGTGGAATTACAAAATGTTTGGAAATGGTTGTTACAGTTCATTCCTGTGGAAGGCTGGAGGCTTTTAATATGAAGGAGATGGGGGACAATGTGCCTATAGTTAACACGACTTCACATTTGTACACTCAGAAGCATTCTGGACGTGTACAAACAGCCGAACTGTACCTGGGTGTCCCAGACCAGATGCGCGCGCACACACACACACATTTTCAACAAGAGACTCAGTTTCCTCTCTGCTCGTGTTTAAAATAAACCACATGTATAACGAGGGGCTGACATTTATTTACAGCATGCTAGCACAGAGGATACGTTGTTAAGGGGTTGTAAAAAAATATTAGTTTCTGCTTTATGGTGCTTTTCTTCAAACATAAGTGGGAAGAGGGAGTGGGATTCTGGTTTCACTCTCTTCTTCTTTTCCACCTGAAACAGAGAATTGTCTTGGGCCGATGCTGCGGCTCTGTACCTCGTGCCCTGACCTCATGCCCTGGCACCCACCTCCGGGTTCCTAATGCACAGTTGGCTTTGTCGCCCCAGCCCTTTGTCCTGCCGTTGCAGTCTCTCCGTGCATGGCTGAGAGGACCATCTGCTGCGTCACCTTCCAGGAGAGTGGACAGCTGGTGGGCAGGACCCCTGCCTTGTCACCGAAGCAGGACGCGGGAGCCCAGCCCTGTCGTAAACCCCCATTTATATGCTGCACGTTTCTGTTTAACGAGACCACGCAGGGGTGGCTGTATGAAATGAAATCTATATATACGAACAAGGAGATTAACCTCAGGGAGAGGCAGGATTAAAGAGGGGGGCAGCCAGGGAGGCCTGGGGCCTCTGGGTTGAGGCCCAGGCAGGTGGTTCCCCAGGAGGGAGTTTTCAGGAAACATCCCAACCCTGAATGGATTTGCTAGGGGCACAGAAGCAATCTTCGTATTTAGAGTCGCTCCTGTGCACCCTGCTCTACGCTAAGCTCTGCCTGTAGGCTGTCACTTGGTCTTCAAGATGAATGGGGATTTTATGACCCCACTTTATAGATGCGGAAATTGAGACTCGGAGAGGTGGCCCCCTGCTCAGGGTTTCATAGCGAGCACGAGGTAGTCTGATTGACGTAGGCTGGTGTGCCCAAGACTGACCTTGCAGGATGGATCACTGGAGGGTTCAAAACAGAGCATTTTTAAAAAGAATTATTTTATATAATTTTTATCCATTATTATTATTTTCAGTTTGATGACAGAGAGAAAGTGAGAAAGTGAGAAAGCAAGCCACCAGGTCCAGGACTTGATCTGTGGTTTTGCTAGTGGGAGTCCAAAACCTCAACCACCGCGCCACCTGCCAGCCTATTATTATTATTATTTTTAAATTTGCTAGAGGATGTATACTTGCCAGACACAGAGAGAGAGGGAAAGTGAAAAATCTTCCCCCAGGGCGGGGGGGGGGGGATAGCCACACCACAATCCCTACTCCTCCATTCCCCTCCTGGGATTTTGTACATGCATGTATGTTCCTGGCATGTTTTTCAAGCCACTGGGTCCAGGACTTGATCCGTGCACTTGGCCATGTATCCCACATGTATCCAGCTGCCTGAACCACCACACCGCTGGCTGGCCTAAGAGGAATCATTTCAACCCCTACCTTTCTGATCAGCTTCAGCTTCTCAGAAGGCACGGACGGTTTGGGAAGCTCAGCCAGGCAGCCGCTGTTTGTCACCCGGGCCGGGAGAGGTGGGCTGGTGTGGTGGGTAAGTGCATGAACTCTGGAGCTGTGTAGACCTGCCCTCAAATCTGGGCTCCACCGCCCATTGCTTATATAATTTGGCCCACTTTAAGAATTTCATCGGGACCAGCAGTTGGCATAATGGCTATGTCGCTGGACTCCCACGTAGTCGACCGCAATTCGAGTCCCAGACCCGCTGGCTTAAACTCACGCCCGGCGACTCGGCGCGCGTGCCCAAGATCCCGAGAGGAGAATGAAGGAGAAGGGATTGTGGAGTGGCCGTTCCCCCTG